CCAAGGAGGGCAGCTCAACCCTCTGCTCCCTCCAGGCAGCAAGGCTAGTGGGCAGAGTTGCTATGTGAGGCAACACTGCTGGGCACGATTTCACAAGAAAGTGGCATTGCCTGGCCCAGGAAAAATACCTTGAAGTCCCACCTGAAGTAGACCACAGTGCTCACCAGGTCCTTCCATGTCCCATGTTCCTCTCCTTTAAACCTCAGAGCCATGGTGCCTAGCCAGCATCTCACAGGCCACACAAAAGACATCACCACTTCCCCCTGTCATGGCTGGGGGCACCCAGGCCTTTAAAATTTAAAAGTGGGCAAGCCATCTTCCAGAAGCTTAAGGATAGAATTCTCTAATGGGAGGCAAATACAACCAATATACACTATATGCATGTATGAACATGTCATAATGAAAACCCATTATTGTGCATAGTTAATGTTTGCTAATAAGGGCTGGGGAGAAGATATAGTCAGTCAGTAAAATGACTGCCATGTGACCTGCATTCCATCCCCAACAGCTATGTAAAAACCCAGGGCACAAATGACTTACACTTGTAATCCCATTGCTGGGGAAGCAGCCAGGTAAACCTTGGGGCTAATTTGCAAGCTCCAGATCCCATTAGAGACCAAGTCTCAAAAGAAAACAAAATAAAGCAAAGCTAGATAGCTCCCGTGGAGCACCACGAGACTCCACACACATGTTCACCTGTACACACCTACACACACACCTGTACACACCTGTACACACACACACACACCATTAATATAATAAATTGAATGAAAACTCCAGAATTAAGATAGAAAAACAACATGGAGATGGAGAGATGCTCAGCAGCTAAGAGCACAGGCTGCTCTTCCAGAGGACCCAGGTTTGAGTCCCAGCACCCCTGTGGCTGCTCACAACCACCTACAACTCCCCTTCCAGGGGATCCAACTTCTGGCCTCTGTAGGTACTACATGCATTTGGCACACATACACTCGGGCAAAAACCCTATACACAAAAAAATATAAATAAAATGTAAAAATTTTAGAAGACACAGAACTCTAACTGAATATCCTCAAATGTTCCCCAAGCTTTCCTTGCAGGCTGGATCTCAAGCCCTTCTACATAACTCCGAGGAAAGTGCCGGCTATTTATATTAAGGGTGTTAGCAAATGTTTACCTGCATTTTGAAACTATAACAACTGAATACAGGGACTTGGTCACAGGCTGACACACGGCTGTCTGTTGACATGTTGTTTTAGTTAAATCTTTCCCAAAGTGGTATTTTGTTTTGTTTCGTTTTAGTGTTTTATTTATGTGGCTTGTGCATGCCTGATAGGAACTCTACCACAGAACCACACTCCCAGCCCCTCACTGGGAGATTCTAAGCTCGTGGCCTACTCCTGAAGCACAACGCTAGCCCCAGCTTCTGTTTTTCCCCCAGAGAATTGTTTGAAGATTTTTTCCCCACAGTGGCCACTGGGTTACTAGGTCAGGTTAGAAGGAACCTGGCCAGTAGAAACCAGCAGAAGAAGAGAGACTCAAGCACATGTTCAGGGTGAAGGTCGGTCAGTTTCAGATCATCCCCCATTCTCTTGGTTGCTTCTCCAGTCATAATGAGATCACAGTGGGGTGCAGGGCCCCTTTAGGCTCTTCCCAGCCTCTCCTTCCATGAGTCCATCTTCCCAGCATGGCCAGAAATGTTGATGACTTGCTCTTCCAATTGTTTGTATGTGCTCATTTACCCATCAGATGGTGAATGTTTGTGGGAAATGTTGACAGTAGCTCCAAATGCATCCTCTGTAAAACCCCAAATGACAAGGGCTGGAATTAAACATGGACTTCATTCTGAAAGAAGCCTAGAGGCAGGCAGCAGAGGACCCGGTTTTAGGTAGTCACAATGTCAACTCCTTCAGTCTGTTTGTCATCCACTCCAAAATGGTTGCTTCCCTCCAGGCAGGAGAAGGAAGAAAAGGAAGACTGGAAGAGGCATACCCACATGCTGTCCTCCACTGGGAATGTTCAGGGGCCCTGGCTCTTCATACAGACAGACCTGCCTGCCTTTTAGGCCTGGATTCAAGTCTTCTCACCATAATCGAGTGGTTATTTGGAGAATGGTTGTATATGCCCCTGGGGGCAGGCCTCTCTGTTTCGGGGTTACAGCTGCAGTGCCAGGGCACTGTTGACACATTGCCATGTGGGACGCTGTTCTTGAGCCCCCAGATCTTTGGTGTTCAGGTTTGGGTGGTTTTTCTTGGTGGCAGCGGCAAGCAGAGCTTCTGAGAAAGTCTGGACTTACAGGTGGGAAAATGATGCTTTGTGTTTCATGTCCATTACCCTAATGGTAACCCATTTTGCTAGCTACATGCTGGGCCGCCTTGAAGATGATAAGTTGACAGTGACTCCATTGGGTCACTGCTGAGTGAAGAGCCCATTAGAATAGGGCCTTGGGTTCCAGCACAGCATGTACCAGGAATCAGGGTGTTGTTATCCTGTACCCTGTCCTCATTTGTCGGAGCGAGTTTGTGAGTGATGTGACAAGTCACAGCCCTGTCCTGTTCCCACCTTCCAGTGTTTTCCCAGTAGGTGCTAGGCCCTCCAAAAGTTGGGAAGAAACCCCATCACCCACCTGAAATGGGGAGCAGTGATGGCAGGGGCCGCCCCAAGTGGTGGAAACACCCTGGAGGGGCGTGACGTTGAAGGGTGAGCTTTGAGTCTGGCCCTAGTCTTCCATTCTTCCATATAGCTTCCTCTCTTCCTTTCCTCCATTTTTTTTTTAAAGACAGTATCTCACTTATTCTAAGCTGGCCTTGAGCTCACTGTATCATGGACCTTAAAACTCCGGGCTCTCTCTCAGCCTTCCCAATGCTGAGTTACAGGTGCATACCACCGCACCCAGCTTACTGTAACCTAACATTCAAGTATTTGCTTAGGGCCACGTCTCGTTTCCCTGTGAGACGTGTAGGAGAAATGGCCAGTGGGTAATCTTGGCTCCTGTTAGTTTTTGTTTTGTTTTTAACTTTTTGAGATGGGATCTGATCACATTACTCAAGCTGGCCTTGATCTTTTTAGGCTCAAGGCAACATCCTGTCTTAGCTGAGATAGCTGAGCAGCAGGCTGTTGCCACTGTGTCTCATTGGTTATGGGCCAAACATTCCCTTGGTCTGTTTCCCCTTTATCCTGGCTGCTCCTGATCAGGGGGACACAGGGCTCTGCCTTCTGGTCAGCTGGCAGAGATCTCAGTCAGTGGCCAATGTGAGACGCACTTCCCTCTCCCTTGGCAGAGCCTCTTCCAGGGCCTGATGGCTCAATGTTCAGACCCTAGCCTGCCTTAGGTTGGATTTCCCTGGAGTCCTTGGGAGATGTGGGCAGAGGGGGTATTGTCCACATATTGGTTTTGAACAGTAGCAAAACAAGGGGTGGTTTAAGACAAAGTATCATTTTGTTAAACTGTGAGCTGGCAAGGGGGCTTAGTGGGCAAAGGCACTCAGAGCAAGCATGGAATTCCAGACCCACGTAAATATGAGAGGGAACTAGCTTTACAGAGCCATCAGGTGTGCTGATCCAGAGTGTTCCAGCACTCTATGGCCTTCCTGTCCATGTGGGTCAGTGGATCCCTCCAGGGGTGGCCCGGGTATGCACAGCTTCCTTAGTGTGGAGACTTGTGGAACGTAGAATTGACAAACACCATTTGCCCATATTCTGCTCAGCCCAGGGTCCCAGGTGGGTTTTTTGGGAGAGAGGAGCTCTTCTGCACAGGGTCAGGCCCTGCTAGCCAGGATTGAGACTTCACACCCAGGTTACAAGGGGACCTGGCTGGCAAAGCCAGAGAGAGGGGTCCACTTCTGAGCTAGGTGACCTCAAGGGCTGTGCCAGTCATCACAGGGCTGCACCTGCTTGAAATTTCTCACATTTTGGGAGTCCAGAGTTGTTGCTACCCGTGTCTGTCCTGAGGTGTGATTGCAGGGTGTGTGGCCATGCCTATGCGCCTATGCGCTTCCCTGAATAGGCGGCTAAACTCCAAGGGTGAGGACTGCCCACCCCCCCTCCCACACACACACCGAGCCCTCTTGGCAAAAAAATCTAGCCTGGGGCTCCACTCTGGGCTCTACAGGACTCAACCACAGATACAACAGAGCCCACTCAGGGAGCTCAGGATAGGGGCTCCAAGGAGCCTGCTGGGGGCGGGAGGGAGGGTGCACAGTGGCCAGCCACCCTCCACTCTGCCCGCATCCCTGATTGGCTGCCCCCTGTTCATCAAAACAGCAGTGGGGAGCACTGGGCCCAGAGTAGGGAAGCTGCAGATGGAGAGCAGGACCTGGGAACTTTGTTTCTCAGGAGGTGCTTCGGACTGGCCTGGCTTGGGCTGTGGGGTGGTGGTCCTTCCAGCCCCAGCCCTGGGAAAGAGAGTAAGACTCCTCGCCCGCCGGCCTCGGGATGGGGGTGTCAGAGTCACTCTTGTTGAGCACCGGGGTGGAACATTGTGGGAGGAGCTCTGTGATGCAGGGCTGGCCCGGGTGACGGTCTGGGACTGGGGGTGGTCCTCTCCTGCTCCCAGGAGCGGGTTCCGGTCACTGCAGCCCTTGGGACTCGCGGGAGGCGGCGCTGAGCGGGTGACGCGGCAGCTCCCTTGGGGCATAAATAGCGGCGGCGGCGCTGCTCCTGCTGTGGACACGTCGAAGGATCCTCGCGCGCTTCCTCACACCGCGCCACTGCGCCATGCGGTGAGCGACACGCCTGTCCGCCACGCCACGCCCAGACCGAGACATCCTCGACCTGCACCGACCAGCCACGCCCGGTTCCCACCGCTACTCAAGGTACCTGTGCCCCATTGAGGTGCGCCAGGCCCGAGTCCTCGGGAGGCTGGCCGTCCAGTCCCTGCCCCCTGCCCCTCTCACAGCTCTGTTTCCATCATCCCACCTCTCCCACTTCCACGACATTCCTGTCTGAGGTCCGAGTGGCCCCCAGATATGTGCGTGTGCAAGGTGGCTCAAATGGTGTCAACTCGTGCACTTTTCTCCTTCCAGATGGCCAGAGGCAGCACCCTCCTGCTAGCCTGCCTCCTGTTAGCTGTGACCCTGTCAGCTACTCTGGGACTTGGGGTACCAGTAAGTGCTGAGAACAACGACCACTAAGGAGGACTAAGGGGGTCAGACGTGAGGATCATCCTGGAGCAAAGGATGGTTCATTCTTCCCACAGCAGGGTGGGGTGGGGTGGGGTGGTATGTCCCCCAGCAGCTGCTGGCGGGTGGGGAGGGTCCCAGGAGAAGGGCTGAGGACCAGGCGGACACTGACAGGCTCAAAATGGCTCCCTCCATACTCAGAGGTAGGGGCTCAGGCTTGTAATCCCAGTACTCAGGAGGCAGGTGGAGGCTGGAGGGTCAAAAGTTCAAGGCTGGGCCTCCCCTACATAGAGATTTTTGGCCAGCCTAGGCTATACACAGGGTGTCTCAACAAAACAGCAAGGAAAAGGCTCCCAATTGTTGGTGGAAGCCTGTGGTAAACAGACTAGATTGCGGGTGCTGGAAGCACAGCCCTCAGCCCTGAGGCTGCTCAGGAGTAAGTCTGTCACCTGGCTCTGAAGAGAATACTAGGAGTTACCAGCTGAGCCCTGCTCTGGTTTGAACATTAATGGACCTAAAATTAGTGCATACATCGATGTGTTCAGGTCAAATGCTGTTATTCAGGGCAGCCTGGGTGTCTAGGCTTCTGCTCTGTGCTGGGCTGAGGAGCCAGGCACAGGCTACTCTGCTCTTCAGCCCAGGGACCTAGGCTGTCTGACCCTTGTCATCCTATTTTAGGTGAAGGAGAAGAGAGGCTGGACCCTGAACAGCGCTGGCTACCTTCTGGGCCCACGTGAGTGATGTTGGGCTGGGTGGCTGAGGCTGCTTCATTGTGGGTCCTATGTGACTATGGGAGCCAGGCACTGCTCTCATAGCCAATTTACTCTCAGATGAGAAGCAGGGGGCATTCCCATGTGGTTGTGGGAGCTGTGGGTTTCCATTAGCCAAACCACTGAAACTTAAAACACCTGCTGTGTTGGGGTGCTCTCCCACTCTCTGAGATGCCTTACCCCTCCACTCTTACTCATAGCAGATGAGCTCGTTCCTGGTCTCCTGATACCACCCTGGCAACCCCAGTGCCTAGCCTCCTCACTTTATCTTGCCTCTGAGCCTGCTCTGGTCTGAATCTCGATTCTCTTCCAGTTCTCAAAGCTTCACTGCCCCGCCCAGCACTTGACACCTCCTGAGCAAACCAGGGACTGCCCATTAGTGCTCTGCACATTTAGAATATTGAAAATGTTATCACAAAGACTTTGAGCCAGAATAGAAAACGTGTTCCCATTGCCAAGTTCACGCAGCCATCCAGCTGGGTCAGGAGGTGCACTGTGGAACAGCCAGGTGTCAGGTACCTTCGATGCCACTGAAGTGTGGCAGGTTTTGAAGGCCAGAGCTGCTGGGATGTGGATGCCTCAGGGAAGAGCTCCAAGATGAGACAACATAGCTACTCCACGAACTTAGCCCTAAACTCTGGCTCTGTTGAATTCACTGGCCTTTTTGTGTAGCTTGGCAGTGTGGGCTAAGTGGCCAGAAGCACTGAGCCTCATCCATGTCACCTATTTTGTCTCCTAAGTTGCCCCCTCCAGCCTCTGTGTGCCATCAACACTTGTCAGCTGTCATTTATTTCCTGACTCTGATCTTGTCCCTTAGGGATCTCTTTGTCTCAGCCACAGTCACAGCTCTCTGCACCCCCATTTCCACTACCCTACCTTCCCTGGCTGAAGTTCTCCTATATGGGAGTGGTCCTTGAAAATAACAATCTGTTATTTCTCCAGTGTCCCTAGTTTCCAGGGATGCAGAGACCCAGGTTCTGTTCTTTCTGGGAGGTATTTCCTAGAAGCCAGCTCCTGTCTCTGGGGTCAACCAGTTTCTGTTGGAGACGCCTGCTTCAGTGCCTACCCCTCCTTACCATAGCCTCTCTCTTCCCACTGGATTCCAGTTCGCTGTGATTACCACCTCACCCAGGGACCCTGGAGACATTGCTTCCCTCTTCTGGGGTGTCCACACATTGGCTTCATGCTGGTGGTTCTGCTATGTGTGGTCTTCCCCTGGGGGTGGAAATGGGATAAGCCACAGTGTCAGCAGGTCCTCCCTCTCTGGTCTGCACACAGATGCCATTGACAACCACAGATCATTTAGCGACAAGCATGGCCTCACAGGCAAGCGGGAGCTACAACTGGAAGTGGAAGAAGGGAGACCAGGTAAGGCCCCAGTCCCTGAATGTACATCCCATCATTCCTGGGACTCCCGGGTGGTAACACCTACCACTGTCCTGCCTCCAGTCACAGCCTGAGGTTGTCCTGGCCAGGCAGGACCTGGGCGCCTGCAGCCTCCTACACTTCTCAACTGGTAAGACTGGGGAGCAATGTCATGGGGCATGCAGCTACAACAAGGGAGCTGGCCATGGAGGCCTCTGGAAAAGCTGGTTCTACTTCTCTAGAGGACACTAGATGGCCTGTGATGCTCCCAGGTTCTCAGCCAGCCTCTCTGGCCTCTGATAGGTAATAGGAGGGTAGTGAGGAAACAGGCCACAACAGTGTTCTTTTCCATTGTCTAGGAAGCGTTGATGCGCCTCTACCTGAGAGCAACATTGTGCGTACCATAATGGAGTTTCTGAGTTTCTTGCACCTTAAAGGTATGGGTGTATTTTCCATCTAAAATGGCATCATAGGCTGCAGGGTATCCCCAGCACTGGCAGGAAAAAGAGTGAAAATGGGTTTCATGGAATGCCACAGTGAAACAAACATCCATCACCCTACTCTGCCCTATGTTAAGACTGAGGCACATCACACTCAAAATGTCCTGTGCTGGGGCTGATGGTGTCAACAGGCTGTCGTCACTACTAAGAAGAGAGTGGAGCTTTGTGGACAGGTCACTTTCCTGGACCCTAGTTTTGGCATAGTGCTTTTTTAGGGCATGATATGCCTCAAGCCAGGTTCTGCAAGGCTATGAAAAGCCATATTCTGTTAACACAGTGCCTGGCAGGTTGACTCTGGGAGCTATTAACTCACTCAGTTTTCTGCCATGCCACTGCTCTTCCAAGAGGAGCTGAAGGGCCCGAGATTAAAACCTATAGGGAAGCGGTGGTGGTGGTGGTGGTGGTGGTGGTGGTGGTGGTGGTGGTTGATAAGTATTGGATCTCCAGTTATTGGGTTCTTCCACCAGTGTAATAAGCCAAATAAAAACAAATAAATTCAGATTTAATAAGCAGAGCACTCCCAGGTGATTCTCAGGGAAGCAGGAGAGGGGATCACATGGCAGATCTGTGGGCAGATCTTAAGTAGCCTGTAGGATCTTAAATAGCCTGTAGGTGGTTTTGAGATGTTCCAGGGGAGGAGCTGCCCACAGTGGGCTTTCTTGGAGGGGGAGGTCTGGAGTGGGAGGAGTGGGGCTGGGTGGAACTTCTCAACATGGGTAACAACCTGGAGACATGACCCAGTACTTGAGAGCATTTGCTGTTCTTCCAAAGGACCCCAGTTCAGTTCCAAGTACCTATGTCAGGTGGCTCACAGCCATTCATAACTCCAGTCTCAGAAGATCTGACACTCTCTTCTGGTATATACACACACACACACACACACAAAGTATTTAAAAAAATAAAACCAACCAACCAGGCAGGGGGGAGTGTGGAACAGCTGATAGCATTAGAGCCCCAACCCAAGGTCCTCAGGCCTCTAGGGTGCTTCTAGGGCTTTCTGCAGATCTCTGGGTGACTACTGCTGCCGAGGGTGCCTTGGTTTTTCCAGGGGCATCTATGTTTCCATTTGGTTTTGATCTTGTAGCAGGGGAAGTATTCTTAGACACTCGCTTCACGACTACAACGCCCTACCCTCAGTCCTTCAGAGGTTAGACACTCAGATGCTGTCCCCAATTCAGGGTCCCCACAGTGAGACCTCGCCCGCCCCTCTCTATGGGTACTGCCATGTGATTCTCTCTCAAGCTAACCTGACTGATAACTCTTCCTTATTCAGAGGCTGGGGCCCTGGACAGCCTGCCTGGCCTCCCTTTGGCCACCTCCTCAGAAGATATAGAGCAGTCCTGAGACCACACCCACCCAGCATGTGTCCTATGCTGTAATTTAAAGTCACTCTAGGCAGAATCTTCTGCCAACTCCTCAAACAAACCCTCTGTTCTCTGCTTTGATGCTGTGCTGTTATAATTAAGATGTTTTGATTGGAGTAATTATATTGTGTGACACAATAAAGACGAGCAAGTATCTGGGACTGTTTAGTTCTTCTATGCTGCAACCCATCACCTCCAGTGTGGTTATTTATTTATTATATATTGTGTATATGCACACATGTACCTTGGGTATTGAACTCAGATCATCAGGCTTGGCAGTAGGTGCCTTTACCTGCTCAGCCATCTTTTTGGCTCCCCACCAGTGTGTTTTAAAAGGTAATGGTAGGTATCCACCCTTGCTTTCTGTGAGACTTAAACCCAAATTCCACATGGACTGAAGAACACGTCAGCCTTTGCTGTGCCTAGAACAGTTATCTCCATGCTCAGCTCAGTCTGATGTGGCAGTCTAGTACGCTGCTGGTGTGAACAAAGGCACAAATGGGTGCAGCCCTGCCCTGGGGCAGTGGCTATGAAGACAGGAGAGCTGGCTCTAAGCAGAAAGCAGATGATACCAGAAGATCAGAGATGAACACAGGTGACAGGACAGCCAGATCCCCACATGCTAGCCTGAGCTGAGCCTTACCTTCTGTGCCCCCCTGGCTACAGGGCAGGCTGCCACCATTGGTCTCACGTAGTTGTGTGTCCTCTACACAACAGGGGAGATGAAAGGAGACCACAGAGGCTCCCCATCAAGGATGACTCCAATCTCACTCTTTTTAAGTCCTAAGTGTGTGTGTGTGTGGGGGGGAACATGTACATGTGTGTGCAGATGCCCATGCAGGCCGGAGGAGCTCCAACAGGATGTTAGGAACCATGTCCTCTGGAAGAGAAGCAAATGTTCTTAACCACTGAGCACATTTTCCCAGCTCCCCTCACCCTTCCTCTTTCACACTTACTCTGACTTGAGCAGGCATCTGGACCCGGAGACTTACACAAGACAGACTACCGGGCCCTGCCCAGTCGGGGCTTTGCAGGCCACATTGTGTTCCAGAAGAGTCCCCAGAAGGATGACACCTGGGCTGTTGCAGCCAGCACCCCCAGCATCATTTAGCCTCACTCCCTCCTGTGTCCCACCCCCAATTTTTAGGCCAGTAGTTGCAGCTATGCCTGCCTTACCTCACCTCGGCCCTCCCACATGCCCTCCTCATGCCTGGCAAACCTGGCACATGATCCAGGAGTCTGTCAGGGCTACCCTGTCCTGCAGCAGCCTTCCTTCTCTTCTGGCTCCGGTGTTGGAGCCTAATAAAAGGCTGATGCTCTACTTCTGGGGAGCTGACCAGCTCATCAGAGCCTCCTGAGACCTAGGGTCAGGCATGTCCATTGGTACTAGGCCTCCAGGAGTGTTCCTGCAACCATTCCCATGGCAGCCAGGGTCTGAGTCAGCAGTACACAGCTGCCTCTTCTCTCCCCAGCACACACAGCATCTTTTGGCTTCTCTGGATCTCTCCTTCATGGTGTTTTTTTTTTTTTTTTTTTTTTTTTTTGCCTGTACATCTGTGCAAGGAAGGGCACATGTGTATGGGCATTAATCCAGGAGCTGCCTTTTGAGCCAAGGTCTCTTCTGGCTGGAATTTGCCAGTTAGGCTAGGCTGGCTAACCAGTGAGCTCTGGAGAGCCTCTTGTCTCTGCTTCCCTGGTGCTGGGATTACAAGTCCGTGTCTGGTTTTGTCTGTTTTTTATGTTCCTGCAGTGGGGTGGGTGGGGTGGGGGAGTGTTTCTTTTTAGCACGGTTTCTGGGAACTGAACTCAGGTCCTCATGCTTGTGCAGCAAGCAATTTACTGACTGAGCCTTTTCCAGTCCTTTCCTTCTTGTCAGTGAACTCCTGGCTTCCTCCAGCCAGCCTCCCATCACTCTCCTGCCTGTGCCCAGGTTTCCTCACACCCTCAATCAGAACACAGACTCATGAAAAGACAAGTTCTCAGTGGAGTCCAGAGTGGCTATTGAGACAAATGTATTTTCAGCTACTAACCTAGGTCCAACTGGGAATCTGGAAAGGTTCCCTCTCACAACAGAATGCAAAGCATGGGCACAATAACCCATCTCACCTGCTGGTGTCTGCAAGCTGGTCACTATGACTGTTGGTAGGCCATAGTGTAACAGTAATTATGGAATGAGAGTTGGACAGTAGGCTTTTCTCAAGTCAAGCAAAAATTCAGAAGAAACTAGCTCCAACCTGACCCCTCCTACTGTTACAGGCCTGGCCTGGAAGACCCCTGCTGGCCACCTGACCTGTGTCTGGGGCACCTGCCCAGCCTTGCTCTCTGGAGACTTGAAGTTGTCTCATAACAACTTGAATGGGGAAACTATTAAGCAATTTGAAAAAGCAAACATATAATAATAAGCAGAAAGCCACCACAGGGCAGGGGGTCCTCAGAGGGCCTCCCCAGGGACAGGGAGACCAGTGCCCACTGTCTCCCCCCCACCCTCAGGGAAGTTCTGCCTGCCTGTACTTCAGGGTACCTTGAGCAGGCTAGCCAGTCCAATGCAGAAGGATGGCTCAGACCTCAGGGCTGGCTGGCCACGCTATAGCGGCCTCCTGCTCCTCCTTGGTGCCGCCTTCCTAGATGCAGACTCCCCAAAGCTGAGGCTTGCCACAGGCATGACCCTTTACCAGCTTGCACTCTATTCAATTTTCAGCCCCTTGGACTTGAACTCGATGTGGAGAATCTGTGATAGGCACCTTCCAAACTCCTCCAGTACCATCTGCTCAGCCAAGGTTGGGGAGCAGCGCTCCTGCTCTGCCTCCTCGCCTTGGGCCAGCAGGCAGGCACATGTGGCCTCCACGACTTCCCAGGAGATACAGGAAAAGGTCTGCCTGAGGAGAGACACAGCAACTCAGTGCCTTCCCCATTCAGCAGGGTAGCACCTGATCATTCCAGTGCAAGGATCAAAGACCTCTACAGGGGACACCTATATCACCTCCCCTTCAAGGTCCAGGGGCTCACAGTCACCCTCAAACAACCTCAGAGGAGGATGACCCCAAGACTGGGAGAGCATCATGGGGGACTTAGGCTTGGTAAGAACATGTCTCACATCTTTAACCAAATAAGCCTGAGTTTGGCTTTACAGAATGAAGTTAGTTCATTTGTGACACCAGGATGACCAACTGCACAGCACTTAAAGGAATGTTCTTCCTTTGGTTAATTAGGTTTTGGGGTATATGCGCATGTATGCACATGTGTGGTGTCATGTATATAAACTTGTGTAATTACATGCATGTGTGGAGGCAAGAGGTTGACACTAGTTGTCTTCCTTGATCAGTCTTCTACTTTATATATTATTGAGTCGGGGATTCCTTGTCTTTGTCTCCACGCATTGGGATTACAGGCACCTGCCTTAGTCACCCAGACTTCACTCTCAGCTTGCACAGCAAGCCTTTGCCACTGAGTGGTTTCCCCAAAAGGTCCATTCTATTTTTAAGGATGGAGTCTCTCATTGGTTGATTTAGAGCTCACTGATTGGCTTGCCAATGAGCCCCAGGGACCCTGTCTTCACCCCCAATACTGGGATTACCAGCATAGGCCATCAAACCTGACTTTTTATATGGGAGCTAAGATTTGAACTCAGGTCCTCATGATTGTGTAGTAGACACTTTATCTATAGAGCCACCTTTTTCCAACCCCTGGAAAGAATATTTTTAAATAGGCAAATCAAGCCCAATATGTGATCAAATGACATCTCAGCCTTTGGGAGCTGCTAAGATTAGTGTGGCTTCAAAACTACCCAACAGGAAGACATCCAACCACAGTCCCTTCAGCTAAGAGTTCAGCATATGTCCAGACACATCTGTCCTGCTGCCCATGGTAAAGAAAGGTCAGGTGTGGGCTGGGCACAGCTCAGTGGGAAAGTGCTTGTCTAGCAAGAGAGAGGCCCTGGGTTCCACCCATAGCCTGGAAAATGGACAGGGAAAAGGAAAGGGAAGGAAAGATGGAAGGACAAGCATTTGCCAGAACAAGCAAGACTCTGGCCTCATTCAGAGACATCAGAACACTACTGCCCTGCTAACAGTGCAGGCACAGCCTGTAAGTACAGACAGGGATACCCAGACAGGGCAAAGGGAAAGAAAGGCTAAATTAAGAAGCTTACGGTGTGTGTGTGTCTCTCTGTGTGTGTGCATATGTATGTGTGAGTGTATGTGTGCATGGATTGTGTGTGTGTGTGTGTGTGTGTGTGATTTCCTGTCCCTCCTGTCCCTTGTACCCCTGCACGATCCAGCTAATGAAGATATGGTTTCTAAGCCTCCCTCAGAATCACCCCAGTCTAATTGTTCAGAGCACTTACCTATTTTTTCTCAGTTTGGGAGGTCCTGAGTACTTGGCTGGGGACAGATGGTGATTGCCCTCAAAATCCCCAGCCTCCATATAGTGGGGTGTGTTCATCAGCATTTTTCGCTCTGGGCTTTCCTCATAGTTTTTGCAAGCAATGCACTTGCAAACTGAAGAACACGTGATTTTGGCCTGATAACAGAAAATGCTTTGTTGAAATCAGGGTCTCCCACCCCCAAAGCCACCCAGCCTTTGCCCATCTGCTTGATCAGATTAGTTCAGATTAATACCAGAGGCTGTTCACCAGGGAGGGAAGCAGACATGGCAGCATTAGTGAATGGCCATAATCCAAGTGCTCTAGAGGTGGAGGCAGGAGGATCATAAATTCAAGGTCACCATTCTTGACTAGAGATCCTGTTCCAGGCAAGCCTGAACTACAGGAGACTTGCCTATAAAAACGGAATAATGTCTTAGTTTTGTTTTCTGTTGCTGTGATTTAAAAAGCAAAACCCTGAACAAAAGCAACTCAGAGGAGAAAGGGCTTACTACAGCACACAGATCAAGCACACAGTCCAACACTGAGAGTCAAGACAACAGGAGCTTGAAGCAGCTGGTCACATGGGATCCTTAATCAGGAAGCAGAGAGTGATGAATGCTGCTGCCTCTGCTCTCTCCACTTACACAGTCCAGGACCCCAGCCAGGGAATGGTGCCACCCACAGTAGGTGGGTATTTTCCCCCTTCCTCCTGCTCCACAGGCATACCCAAAGGCCTGTTTCCCAGGTGACTCTAGATTCTGTCAAGGTGACAGCACCTACCATTATTACAC